AACCGTTATAGAACATCACTAAATAAATAAATAATAAGATGGTACAAAAATAATCTTACTAATATTTCATGTTCAATTTTTTATTTTTTATAAAAAGTATAAAATTTAGTCTTTAATGATTTTTTTGCACAAAAATAAACTAATAGTAATAAAAAAAAAACATACCAAGTGAATATTAAATGAACTTTCCATATTCTCCTTAAAATGTCTCATCCCTATAATTCTTAATGTTGGAACCCATTTTAGTAAAGGTCAGTGACTTGCTTATTTATTTATTTTCTTTATGATTAAACCAAAAATTGAAAACTTAATAATTCTCTATGTTTGCTAGTAATTTCTACAGTCTGATTATTAGTGATGAAATTGATAACACTTTTTAAAATTCGTTTAATTTATAATATGTTTTTTTTTTTTACTTTATTTATAATTTTTTTTTTAAAAAAAATTTGAACATTCTAGTTTGTACTGTAATAATTGACCCCCAAAAAAAAAAAAATATATATATATATATATATATATATATATATTGTAGACAAAATATTCTATTTGTTTATCACGACAGTGTTGAGACGTTTATTTACACCTTTGTTTTTAGAGATTATTTTGCAATTAATCCCCATAATTTTTGACGTAAACAAATTATATTGGGTTCCCAGCATGCATATTGTGCCACATTTTAGTCTTATCGCACTTCACGAGCACCACATTTAATAATTCCAATGTCAAATCTTTTTTTGTGGAAATTTTTTTTATATGATAGTAAAGAAATAAAAACATTAATCTTTTAAAATCAACTGTAATTAATCAAACAAATAACTTTGTTATTTAATATATTATATACATAATCATAATCAAAAAACTTTATTAATTATCTTTCGTTATATTAATTTTTATATTTTAATATTTAAATATCATCTATATTCGGAAATAATTTAAATTTATACCATACGAATTCTAAAATTAATTAGAATAAATAATACCCACTAGAATAATACAAATATATTACTTTTTATACTGTAATATTTTTTCTACATAAATAGTTTTTATAATAATTCTTTTTTTTTTTTTAACCAATAAGAATTATTTTTGAAGCTATAATTGATTATATTATTTTATTTATTTTATCAAAATTCAAACAGACCCAGTGCCCAAAGATATGGTAGAAGTATTTTTATGCTATATTCTAATATAAAAACTGCGAACTTTCATATATAATATTAAAATATATATTCAAATGTGCCTACCAATAATCTAAAGTGCACAACATATCCTTTGTCTGGTAGTCTTATCCAGCAGACTTGATCTATACCGGGACTTTCTGTCAGGAGAGATTTTAGTTTAAGTGGAGAAATTCCATTATACATATATATATATATATATATATACATACATACACAGATTTATATAGAGAGGAGAAGAGGATTCTGCAGAGCAAGGGACGAAAGGTGCTTTGTACAAGCACGACAAAGTGGGGTTTTTGTTGGTTGCGCATTCCGTTTTTCCGCCGTGTGGAGCTCGGATTAGTGTTTAAATCTAAACTATTGATGATTTCTTTTGTTCTTAACGATACTTTCTCGGTTTGCAAGGATGCAGCTGGAATCGCCGGTAATCTCTTTTTTCCTCCTCGGGCCAAAACCTTTCCTCTCTTCCTCTATGTATTCCGTGCTTCAAATTTTTTTATGGAATACTTCATTGCATTTTCAATTCAGCCGCAAGGATGCAGCTGAAATCGCCGATTATCCCATACTTTTATGGAATTTATCGGACCAGGTTTCTGTTTTAGATATCTATTGGTTCATCGTTTCTTTTGCCTTCCTTTGTTATTTTAGTGGAAAATAGAGCAAAATGCATTATTACGTTTTCAGGAAAAAAAAAAAAAAAAAAAAGGATTAATTACGCATGAATATGTTTGTTAGGGAGTCTCTTTGATAAGTCGGTTTTGCTGAAAGATGGAAATGAACGCCAAATGGTATCTTGTGTTGAATTAATCCATATTAAATAATTTTGTAAAATGAGCACTCTGTTTCCTTTTCTAAGCATTCAATTAAATTTTTCTTCTGGTTTTTGGTGGGTGTTCAAATGGGAAAGAAGTGTATGTGGTCCTAATCCTTTCCATCATGAGGTAATTTCAGGCTGAGGCTGAGAAGAAGAATCCTTATGGTCACATGACTTGCCATATTGAATTGCTACCTTGTCTCTGAAGAATACAAGTGTAATATCTTTACCTCTAAGAATTATGTTTCGCTTCTCTCTCTCAAAAAAAAGAAAAAAAGTAATGCTTTGGGTTGAAAAATTGGCCACTCTGTTTCAAGTGCCAATGATGATATATGATCGATGTGTTCTTCTGATTGCTGACCTGGATTCAGAAAATAGTCTTTGAGTACTAAGAGCATAATCTTTTCTTGGTTAAAACTCAGATTCACAAGTATCCTCGATTGGTAAAAGATTAGTTGTGTTGAATTTAGCAGCAGCATAAAAGGCATTATGTTACTGGATATGGAAAAGTATATTGATTTGGTACCAGCCTAAAAATATATTCGTACTTTCTAGCTTCTGATTTAGCTCCTACACACTAAGTTCAACAGTTAGTAATATCCTTCTAGAAATGGGATCAAAGGAAATCATTTATGGTCAGGTGCTTAATTCAGTGCAAGTTCCTTAGGTTTTGCGCCTTCTGGTCGTTTACTTTCTGTATCTGGAATATTCATCTGTTCATGCAAAACAAAGTGTGCTTAAAGATTAAACTTACTATTCTGAATTTTCAGTTTATTTAGAGTGTCACGGAAACATGCCAGTTATTATTATCCACCTAAAGCATGAGACAAAATGCATTAGAAGAAGGTTCAGTAGTAGAAGAAGCTGCCTTTCTATATGACATTGGAGTGAAATATTGTTTGGTGAATGGTACTTGCACTTTTTTTTATAAATTGAAACCTATTGAACGAATAGATTCAAATGTCGTTTATTTTATGCAAAAATTTTATTTGAAATGTTTTCCTAATGCATGTGCTCGTTTGCTGCAGGGAATATCTTTGCCTTTGGGCTGTTCGTGTCACCTGTGTAATTTACTCTCCCAAACGATTTTTATCTTTTCGTAAAATTCCTTACGATAAATAAATGAAATAGGTGCTATGGTTAATCGCTAACTAGTTTTAGCTTTGTCTTCCCTCAAAATTTCAGACCCACATTTAGGAGAATTATCAGAAATCAGTCAACAGAACAGTTCTCAGGATTGCCATATATATATGCTCTGTTGAACTGCTTGATCTGCTTGTGGTACGGCACACCCCTCGTGTCTTCTGATAATGTAATGGTTGTGACAGTCAACTCTATAGGTGCTGCTTTTCAATTAGTCTACATTGTTATCTTCATTACGTGTGCTGAGAAGCAAAAAAAGGTTACTATCTCCTTCAGTTTGGTTGCACCTGTTCCATGGTCAGTTATTTATAACCTTTTTACTTTCATGTTGTCAATTATGTTTTCCTTATGAATCACTGGCAGATCAGGATGTTTGGACTATTGCTGGGGGTTTTTGCCATGTTTGCAATTATTGTATCTGCAAGCCTGCAAATATCTGATCAGTTCACAAGGTGGCTCTTCGTTGGATTGTTGAGTTGTGTTTCTCTGATATCAATGTTTGCCTCACCATTATTTATAATTGTAAGTCACTCAGATACCTTAATGGTATTCTTTATGCATGGATTATTTAGTCTAGTTGCTTAGATCTTTATGGCTTGTTTTCTCTTGATCTTAAATCTATTTCCAGAACTTGGTCATTCGAACAAAGAGTGTTGAATTCATGCCATTTTATCTCTCTCTTTCAACTTTCTTGTTGAGCACATCCTTTCTCCTGTACGGAATGTTCAATCACGATGCCTTCATCTATGTAAGCATCCTTGAGCTATCTGATTTCCTTTTATATATCTCTTATCTGATGTATAATTATATAATTCCTGTTTAATCATGTGACAACATTGCTTTTCTGTTTAAAATTTCAGGTCCCCAATGGTATAGGAACTGTTTTGGGCATTGTACAATTGGCATTATATTTCTACTACAGCACAAAATGCAGGGAAGACGAGAAAGAACCCTTAATAGAATCTGTTGCATAAATTGGTGGACAGGTCAAAACAAGAAAAATGAAGGTCCTTTATATGTGATTTTTTTCCCAAGTGCAGTTTGTTCAGATAATTTCTGACTAAAAGCTGGGAGATCTTCATCAGATCATGGTTGATTTCTTCTAATTTCTTGCTATGCAACGCAAGAAGGCTGTGAATGGCTTCTGGTTTCTCTGCCACTCTGCCAAATCGAGCGGTGTTGAATGTTAATATACAAAATTTGGTGAAGCATCTGTATTCTTTATTATGTAAAACTAATTATATCATGATTGCATTCTCAGTTTCTTTTGCAAATAAACAATGAAATTGCGAATTACTTTGCGGGTGTTCCGCTTTACTTGTTTCTCTACAGTTGTTATATAGTTGGCAAGGCATTGATGGAGATGCTAGTGGTGAATTGTCTATACAGTAGAATTCTTATTTCAGAAGGAAGCAAGTTTCTTTATACATGAAGATTCTTATTGCAGAAGGAAATTGATGAATCACATTATCTATTGAAGCCCAGACTGAAAAGGAAATTGTAGCAAATCTCTGAGAGTTGTTCTCGATACAGTAGCTGGTTTTGCCTACACAGAACATAGGAATATCTGTTAGCTGCAGAATAATCACCATTATTTCATCTTATCATCTCTTTCAGCTAACAATTTTGATCAATGCAGGAAAAAAAAGCAAAGGGATTTATATAAATTATCAACCCATGGGCTACTCACTTGGTGAGTATTGTTGTTTTTGAGACGTGTTCTTTTAGCGGAATGATCAAGCAACCGGCCTTTGTCATCATACAAAATCAGCCCACTGAACCTCGGCAGCTGACATCTCTCCCCCATAAGTATGGGCCGCTGCCACACCGGGGACACCGGGTTGTAACTCAGCCGGCCAATGCCATCCTCGCGGCTGTTTTCCAAGCCAAGAAGTGGCGTTTTTTTCTCCCTCCACCCACCACCAAAGTTACCTTCCTCCCACCTTTTTGCGCAACTCCACCTCACCGAGCCCACTAATGCCCTTCTTATCGGTACACAATTGGCCCAATTACAACTGGGCTCGAACCATTTTTCATCCTTGGAGCTAACTTCGATTGTGCCATGGTCCATCACTTGTTTTCTTCGAGTCTTAATCTTGAAAACCATGGCCGTGCAAAGTACAAAAATGGCGAAACATGTGCACAGGGGGAGGAGAATTGGTTGATGTGTTGTTCGCTTCCATTTCTGCTCTAAAGCTTCCATGGATGTAGTTTGTTTTTTCACCAAATTAGAGGTGAAGGAGAACTTAGTGGGTTTATATGTTGGTTGGTAGGGACGCTTAAGATTTGCATGGGAGTACAGAACTAGACGTGGTGTAAAAACGGTGAATTTCACGTGAGAGATCCACCGCTTGTTGGGCTTAGACCATGGCGTAGTGTGATATGTGGAATTAGCTAGCCGTTAGTCTCACCGTTTCGATCTCTAAAAGGCAAGTCACGGGATACATAAGGTTCTTATTTAAGCACTTAAATAAATTACGTATATTATATAATTATTTGATCATTTTTTTTTAAAAAAAATTTCTAAATCTGAATGTGTTGGAGAAATTTATAATTATCACATGACTTGATATTTAAAGTTTACTTACTTAATTGAATATATATATATATTTACTTTTTTAAATTGACGATGAAGATAAATTATAAAATAAATGTAGGAGACATTTACTATAATGGTTATAGTGAGTTTTAAGTTTATATAATTCTATATTTTTTAATTTCCTCTTAAGGTAAAAAAATATTGACACCATATTTACATGTGAATGTCATTATAACACTCAACATAATAAGATTAATAAGAATAAAATATATATGTATTGCAACAAATTGTAAGATACCTCATATTACAATGTAAACTATGTATGTGACACTTAATGACTGTCAATTTAAATAATTTGTAAAAATATAATATTCATAAAATTAAATAATGAATATAATTGAAGCTATGAGTAAAGTAATGATATGATGAAAGATGGATTTATGGTAGCTTAATATATAAAATGTCATTATCGTTATGTTGTGTAAGTTCATTAGTTGTCCAATGTATATTTTGTAAACTATTAGATACATTAATAATAAAAAAATAATAGCAAATAAACATAATATATTATATAATTACACGATTATAGTTAAAAATATTATAAAAAATCATATTTACTAACAATAAAAAAATAAAAGTGTATTATTCTATATTGTCGTGAAAAAATATTATTTTAATATTATGATATAGTTACTTAATATTCGAATATTAATTTTAATTCAGTCAAAAATTATATTAAAAATAAACTAAAAAATTAAGTTGTTAAGTTTAAGATTAAAAGATTAAGAATTCAAATATAAAATAAATAAAATTTAGAAATAAAAAAAGATAAAAATTACAAAAATACTAAAAAATAATTTGTACCTCATTTTGGGCCATTCCATAGAGTTTTCATGGGCCATTTTCCGAAACCTAAAAACCAAAAATATATAAAAAAAAAAAAAGAACTGCAATTGGCTCCAAAAATTTTCCCCCTTTTTGTAGCTTCACGCTTTCTAATTCCGACGGGAATTTCAATTCTCCAATTTGTTTATATTTCGGATGATATTTTTCTTCTAGGGTTTCGAAGGAACGTTTTCTTCTTTCCCGCCGATTCATCTCTCGTGAATTCTCTCTCCCATTGAATTCAGTCAATTCTTGACTTCTCGAACCTTAGTATGTAGTCCACACAGCCATTTCTTTCTGTTTTTTGTTTTAATGAATTCTTAATTTGGATTATTTGCCGGGACCCGTTTGATTGCTTTTAAACATGAAGAATATTAGGAGATTAGTTCTCTTTCGATGATTTCTTGTGCCTTGTTTGTCGCTGGTTATCTGCAATTCCGAATTGTGATTTTTCTCGTATTTTCATGGCGGTCAACCCGAGGTTTAGGGGTTTGGTAGGTTATCTTTGGAGTCACCTCTACTTTACTTATGTAGTATGAATATGTTCTTCGGGCGCTGTTTTCCGTTGAACCTTTGTAGGTAAGTCTTAGGCTTCGTTGGTTTCTCATTAAAGGTTAGTTCAAGGTAAAAATTCCCTTTAGATCGTTAAGTGGTTCATGACCACAATCTCTGTTATCTTTTTCATACATTTGGAAACTGATTGGATTCTTTCTTTCCTGAATTGTAATAGTATGAAGAGGACAAGAGAATCTAGCCAATGTGCATCTGGTCTCTTTGTGATATAGATCCAGCTTCTAGATGTTTTATATCTCTACCAAAAGGTCTTAATAACATGGAGACAGTATAATCCCGGTTTTAGGGATGTATTATGACGAGGATCTTGTGACCAAATAGACATTTTGCTTGAGATATAATTACATTTGCACACGGATTACACCCTCTCGGTGCTTTTTGAGTATATTGCATATTTTCTTCTTTTAAAAAAATTGATTTTTAGGGATGCCATACTTGATTGGTATTGTTCTTTGGTTTCATTTGTTTTAAGTTAAAGATTGCAGCTTATATCGTTGTTGTATTTCATGTTATTCAGGTCATCAGCTACTAATTTTTCTTCTTGATTTTTAGAACTAAATCTCTAATTCTGAACCTCCGAGAAATAAAATGTCTGGAA